ATTCTTCTGCTTGTGTCCTGGATGCGTATAGGACTGGGGAAGATTTGGGCTTCAAAATCATGGACGATATGGAGACCAGGAAGAAATGGATTCAAACAGAACAGGCCAAAGGTGAGCACTACGGGGGACTGAGGCTCCAGGTTTGGGTGGAATACGTTAGTGGGTACATGTGAGGCATGTGGCTATTTCCTTCCATCTCGTGCTCAGAAGACTTCTTCGGGGAGCATTGTGGGAGGTGTCACCTCACAGAGTTCGTCTTTCTTCCTGTAGGTTTGTCTTGTAAAGCTATTGACTGTAATCAAGAGGAGAAGAGAAAGCCCAGAATACCAGTGAGTTGGAATTCTTTTATTTTACAGAAATGCTGGCTCACTTACTACAGAATATGCCTATATATTCCACTGTCGTGGGCAGAGAGAAGACAATGTTTTAAGCATTTAAGAATGATTTCTAATTTTTTGTTTATTTTTTTAAAATACTGCAAACATTGATATTAAAACTTCAGAAAAACCTAAGATATAAAGAATATTTTTTGAAAACAGATCACTGAAAATTGTAAAGGTACTTTTAAATTTCACTGAGTATCCAAATACATGCCATATACTGAAACAGTCTTGTATTCTGGCATGTTTTTAATTTTTATATATCGAAGTTTCTAAAAATGCAGAAATCAAGCAAAAATAGAGACTTTGGTCTCATCATCAAGCAGTTCTGCTGGTCATCTAATATGCAGGAAGATGGTATTTTGTCAGTAAATCTCAAAATCCAAAATGTGTACACATAGCCACTTTCCGTCTCGGAATTTTCAGGAATGTTGTATTGTGTTGTTGAATCTGAGAGCACAAGTAAAAGACATGAGCACATCCACTTTCCCACTTCTCTGTCCACTTCTGAGTCCAGGTGCCCATGCAGCACTTCTTTCTCTAACCCAGCCCCTGAATCTACATCAGATCTCACACATTCTTAGGCTACTATCTGTAGACTAGGAAATAGTACAATTCTTGCAGTTAAGTTTCGGAACACACTCAAAACTGTCCTTTTGGCCTTATGATTTGAATTATAAGGTGTGCCTTATCCCTTGAGGATTCCGGATGTAAGCTTGGGAGTCTCCTCTGGGCTCCCTCCCTTTTTCCCTGGTGATCTCAGTACTCTGCTGGGTTTGCTAAGTCACTGGAACAACCGCCAGTATTCACACAGAGTGCTCTAGTTATGATTGAAGCTTTCTTGTAACGAAACAGTACATCCATAAAGCGATCCAAAGGACAAGGTCTGCTAGAATTTCCAGTACATGACATCCTTGTGACAAAAAGGCTGTAATGTCTTTTGCCAACAAAGAAGCCCTTGGATCCTCTGCTGAATTTAGTACACTGTCAAGATTGCTGGGACACATCTCTTCTCCCTACCCTGAGATCCTCTGGTCTTTGATGGAAGGGCGGTGACTCATTAGTGATGTTGTCACTGTGTGGATCACCTTCTGGTTCAGGTTTCCTTCCCTTCAAAGAATTGGTAGGGTGCAAGCACAGTGCACACACAAAAGGAGCCAGAGTGGCAGAGACGAGCAGAAATTTCAGGAAGCATCACATAGACGTGCTCACAGAGAGGAGAACTGGCTTCCACCTTGTGAGTCACCAGGAGCCCCGAGTGAATTCTGGTTTCCCTTTTATGCTGTTGTCCTTTGTGTCTGTCCTTGGGTTTCCTGATACTTGTTTCCTGGTTCCTATGTTTTCCTATCATGATGTAGAGCCCATAATTAGTCATTTTTCCTAGGTCTGATATACTTCTTTACCATTACATTCATCTGTTTTAAATGTATTCATAAGTTAACCTTAATGCTAATTTGTTATAGTGTCTTATGATTAGTTCATTGATCGCATCATATCAGCCCTCTGTGCATGTCTGATTTGGGTGAAAGTCTTGTGTTGTAACTTTCTCTTAACTAGCTTTTTACTAGTTTCTCCTGCCAAGTCAGGCAGGTCCTTTTCTGCATTCCTTGTGGTTGATCTGTGGTTAGCCCCCTACTGCCTTTTCTAAACACCTGGCAGTGTTGATGGATATCTAATTATATAGTGCTCTGAATTAAGGAGCTAGAAGAAAACTTTGTACTTTATACAGTTACTCACAATAATGTACCATGCAAGGTGACTCTCAGCCATTTTGTTCACTTCTAGAGTTGTTTAGTTAAGCCGTGGTCATTCAAATTTGTGGATCTTAAAATCTCTGCATAGTGGGGTTTTATGCACTGAAAGTGGGTGAATTGTAGAGCCAGTGAATTTTAAATTATATCTCAATAAAATGCTTTTGGAAACCTGATGGTGTATCGATTAAGTGTTGACTGCTAACCAAAGGGCCATGTGAAGGCACCTTGGGCTGTGCAAGAGCAAGATTTAGAGACGTTTGCTTCCCAAAGATTAGGGAACCCTATGGGGCAATTCACTCTGCCATATAGAGGAGCTCTCAATCAAAAGTGAGTTCATGGTGTAACAGGTTACAATATTTGTTGTGGGTTTTATTTCAGTTGTCTTTAACAGGGACAGTACTAGGTATTACGTCACTCATCACCCATGACAGTAACCTCTCATCCCCAGTCAGCGTGTGGACAAGTAGTATACAGTACCTGGCATTGGATGGACAGGTTGGCCTCCACCTTGGTAAATCTGAGGGAGTTGGATCTGAAAGGTATCTATCGGAGTGGACTTTGGAAGGGTCATTTCGTTCATCTAGGAGCTTCGTTTTTTTAGTAGCAGCCAGTAACTCAGTTTTATGAGTACTGTTGGAGTGACCGGATGCTCCACATAGATGGGAGGCCAGGAGAATGTTTCTGCAGGAGGTGACATGAACAGTAGTTCAGATGTTGTTTTTGTTAAGTGTCGTAGGGTCAGTTCCGAACCATAGCAGCCATGCATAGGGTTTTCAAGGAGTGACTGATGAGTTTGAACTGCCGGCCTTCATAGTTCAAACAACTTTGCTGGCCAGCACATTAAACCACAGCACCACACTGAGGCTCCATAGTGCAGATACTGCCTAAAAATATCATTTTATTGGAGTATTATATTCTCTTGCCCACGGTTTTCATAGATGAGTTAGAACTCTACAGGGTTAAGGTCTTTATTAGAAAAGGTCATTAAAATCATTTAAAAGGCCACCAGAACACTTACCAGAAATGGTCGGAAATATCTCATCCTGAAGTTTTCTGTCTACTCTCATTTTTCCTGTAGTTGAAGCTTCCCTCTCTGCTGTCCTTTCAGTCCTCACTAGCTGTTGATGCTTCATACTTGACCTCATGGACTATTTCCTTTGTTCTTTTCTACCCCATCCTATATGCTACCATATTAGAATTTTTCCATCATGAATTGTCATTTTTTAAAAATTCTGCTTACAGCTCTCAAATTGATTCACAAACACTTTCTTCATTGAGGTCACACATGTTTGAGGGTAAGAGTGTGTTTTGTGAATCATTGATGGTCCCCACAGATTTTCTTGCACAGGTGGGTGCCTAGCCTAGTCCAGAACAACTTGCTTAGAGGAACTTAGTAAGTTCCAGACTTTTCTGATCACCAGGGAACTCTTCACATTGGGAAAAGTGATGCTGACTTGCTGTGTGTTGGTTTATCGCTTGTTCAAGGAACCGGTTACATTCGAGGATGTCACCGTGGTCTTCACGGAGGCAGAATGGAAGAGACTGAGCTCTGAGCAGAAAAATCTTTACAAAGAAGTGATGCTTGAGATATACCAGAATCTTCTCTCATTGGGTGAGGATGTGCTGTCCTCTTTTCCTGCATGAATTCAGCAGATACTTAGAAGTCCCTGCTGTGTGCCCGAGGGGAGAAGTGGTGTGGTGCTGCAGGGTAATTAAGGCGCTGGACCTTAGTGTCGGCGGTTCAAAGCCTCCATCTTGTCCTAGAGACCCTATACAGACTCTAAGGTATGATTCAGAACTGACTCAGTGGCACTTAACAACAACAACATATATGTCCAAGGAATACTGTAGCCCTAGTAGGTAAGCATAGATGGTGCCAAGCGAAATGTTGGCACTGTGAACCCAATTGTCTATAGGAGACAGATGTGGCCAGATGATTCCAGAGCAAACTATAGTCTTCTCATCCTTTAGTAGAGTCCTGGTGTGGCGCTGTGGGTTAATGCACCAGACTGCAAAGCCATTTGAACTGCAAGGTAGGTGGTTCAAGCTCACCAGCTGCTCCTTGGAAACCCTATACAGGGTCGCTGTGGGTCAGAATCGACTCAGCGGCACTAACAACAACAAAAATCCCTTCGTGGGTGTCTACTCTGTCTTCTGTGAGTCACAGTAGCCTCAACGACAACATTTTTATAGTTTTTGGATGTGTAGCAATTCTAGTCTGGAACACATGGTTGGCTATGAGGTGGAATTGAATATATGTCCATGAGTTTGTTTGATTTGTTTTCACTGAGGACCAGATGATACTCTAGATATTGAGAACCTATTATTAGATGTAATACTTAGGAAGGTGTGTTTGAACCACTAACCTTGAAGTTATCATTCCAGTACTTGTCCTACAGTGCCACATCAAGTGTGCATTGTTGTTAATATTGCTAAGTGCCATGGAGTTGTTTCTGGATCAAGTTGCCCCTAATCTTGGCTGCTCTAACTTAAATCTTTGGGTTTTTTTGCAGAACCAAAGCCAGAAATCTCCCACTGTTTCTCCTGCTTTCTGTCTCTCTACTGTCAGCAAATTTTCAGCCAACAAATATTTCAGAGCTTCCCAGGCATGTGTGCAGAGTGTCCCTTCCATTCAGGGGCTTCCAGACCAGGGTCTCAGAAACACCTTGGCCAGCAGGACTGTGATCAGAGGTCCTGGAAAGAAAACACAGAGGGTCAGGAGAGAGAAGATGTCCCCAATCCTTTGTGTGGGAGCAGAGTAGAGGCAGAGAGTTCATGGCTTTTCAGTAGCCCACCGCAAAAAGTGTCAGCAAGGCCGAGAGAAGGCCATGCAGGTGTAGGCATAAAGCCCAACTCAGCCCAGCGGATGACATCTGTGGAAACAGATAGAACACTGAAGGAAGTAGAGACCTCAAGATTTGGAGCTGTCAGCTACAGAGAGGATGGAACAGACTGTGGCCAAGGTTTTAACCTGAAATCAAGCCTTCTCCAACACCAGCAGACACACTCAAGGGAGAAGCCTTTTGTTTGCAGTGAGTGTGGTCGACGATTTGCTCAGAATTTAGCCTTGCTCTGCCACCAAAGGACACACTCAGGGGAAAAGCCGTATGTTTGCAGTGAGTGTGGCCGAGGATTTGCTTGGAAGTCAAGTTTGCTTCACCACCAAGTCTCACATTCAGGTGGAAAGCTATATGTTTGCAATGAGTGTGGCCGAGAATTTACTCGTAAGTCAGTCTTTCGCAGGCACCAAAGGACACACTCGGGAGAAAAGCCCTATGTTTGCCTTGAGTGTGGCCGAGGGTTTGCTCAGAAGCCACAGTTGTTCTGCCACCAAAGGACACACTCAGGGGAAAAGCCCTATGTTTGCAGTGAGTGTGGAAGAGGATTTCCTCTGAAGTCAACCTTGTTGTGCCACCAAAGGACACACTCAGGGGAAAAGCCATATATTTGCGGTGAATGTGGCCGAGGATTTGCTTGGAAGTCAAGTTTTCTCTACCACCAAAGCACACACTCAGGGGAAAAACCATATGTTTGCCGTGAGTGTGGCCAAGGATTTGCCCGGAAGCCACACTTGTTGTGCCACCAAAGAACACACTCTGGGGAAAAGCCATATGTTTGCAGTGAGTGTGGCCGAGGGTTTGCACGGAAGTCAACCTTGTTGTGCCATCAAAGGACACACTCAGGGGAAAAGCCCTATGTTTGCAATGAGTGTGGCCGAGGATTTCCTCATAAGTCAACATTGCTCTGCCACCAGAGGACACACTCAGGGGAAAAGCCCTATGTTTGCGGTGAGTGTGGCCGAGGATATGCTTGGAAGTCAAGTTTGCTCTACCACCAACGGATACATTCAGGGTAAAACCATATGTTTACAGTGAGTGTGGCCGAAGGTTTGCTCGGAAGCCACACTTGCTCCTCTACCACCAAAGGACACACTCGGGAAGAGCCTTGTGTTTTTATTGTGAATTGAGTGCAGGTCTACAGAGCAGAGTATCAGTTTTACATTCTATTCATCACATACTGTGCTTTACTGTGCAGGGTTGCAGTCCCTTCTGAGAATGGAATGCAGCAGTTAAAGTGATTACGGGTAAAAACCATTAACTGTAAGCCCCTGGGTACCTTTTTTTAGAATGAGCCAAGAGTTGTTGTTGTCAGGTGCCATCGAGTCGGAACCGACTCATAGCTACCCCATGCACAGCAGAACGAAACAATGTCCGCTCCTGGGCCAACCTCACTACCGGTGCCACACTTGACGCCATCAATGATGCCACCTGGCTGATCCATCCCATTGGGGGTCTTCCTCTCTTTCTCTGACCCTTCCTCTTACCCAGCATGACATCCTTCTCTAGCAATTGTTCCCTCCTGACAATATATCCAAAGTAGGAGAGAGGACGCTTAGCCATCTTGGCCTCCAAGCAGCACTCTGGGTGCACCTCTTCCAAAACATCAGATCTATTGGTTCTTTTGGTAGTCCATGGCACTTTCAGTATTCTCCTCCAACCACAATTCAAAGGCATCAATTCTTTTACAATCTTCCTTATTCACTGTCCAGCTTTCACATGCACATGAGGTTATTGAAAATACCATGGCTTGGGTCAGGCGCACCCTAGTCCTCAAGCTGACATCCTTGCTCTTCAACACTTTAAAAAGTTCCTGTGCAGCAGATTTGCCCAATGCAATACGTCGTCTGAGCTCTTGACTGCTGCTTCCTTGAAGGTTGATAGTTAATCCAAGAAGAATGAAGTCCTTGACAACTTCAATCTTTTCTCCGTTGATAAGAATGTTGTTTATTGGTCCAGTGGTGAGGATTTTTGTTTTCTTTACATTGAGATGTAATCCGTACCGATCTTCATCAGTAAATGTTTTAAGTCCTCTTCACTTTCAGCAAGCAAGGTTGTATCATCTGCATATCGCAGGTTGTTAATGAGCCTTCCTCCAATCCTGATGCCACGTTTTTCTTCATAGAACCCAGCTTCTTGTATTATTTGCTCAACATACAGGTTGAATAAGTATGGTGAAAGAATACAACCTTGTCGCAGACCTTTCCCAATTTTAAAACATTCAGTGTCCCCATGCTCTGTTCAATATATAAATTTTAACTCACAGAAAATTTGGTACTTTTTCTGATTTGACAGCATGTTTCATGTATTCCAAAATACAAGATAAATCCAGTTCTGTACCTTTAAAACTTCTTGTATAAGCGAGAAACAAATCCTTAGCAGCTTTCCGTGAAAGTTTAAAGCTGTCCTCAGCTTTTTCTTGGACACCACGCAACAATAATCAAGCTAAATGTGTATTTATCTCTTTTGGGACCACGGAGCAGGTGGAGCAGTGTGACTGATTAAATGCTGGTCTTGTGGCTCTGCAAGTTCTATAGGTCTGGAGTTGAACCCACCTGAAACCAGACACCAAAGGTGTGCAACTGGCCCCACCTCACATTGTGTGTCTCCCGAGCACATGGCTCTGAGCTACTGGAGAGCAGGGTCTGCACTGGGGGTAGATGAGGGGGGAACTGATCACAACAGGGCAATGTGGGGGACGAGAAGACATCACACCTTCCCCTCATGTGTGAACCTACTCTGCCAGGACGCCTGTTGCTGAAGCTGCTCACAATACAGTTGCGCCGAGTCTCACCGGCCATTTACCACTGTCTGCCTGTGTCACCGTCCCTGCTCAGCTCCTACTCAGGCCACGTCTCTAACCTGTCCTCTGAAGTTCGGGGTTCTGGGATTTTCATCTGAGTCTGTTTTAATCGGTGTCTCATATCGTTATAGAGAGACTGTGCAGAAGTCTCTGAACATATTTAAATGAACTAAAAAGAGGCCAATTCTTGTCTGTATCAATAAGGCAAAAGACAGGGAAGGTGAACAGGATCAGGGCTCCCCTAAGTCCTCGATGTAATTCCAGGGAAGCTTTGGATAACCCCAACTAAGTGAAATCTTTTCAGACACAGAAAACATAATTAAGACAATTTATGCAAACTTTGTTTCAGTAGTAATTATATGGTTCTGCTGAGTCTGATGATGGCTGATGAGTTTGAACTGCCAACCTAGTGTGTTAAACTGACCTTACCTATCCTACAGCATCACACCAGGATGCCTCAATGGCAGCATGTACTGGAAGTGGTCTAGGACCTACAACCAACATTTACCATTTCATTTCTGGTTTCTCATTGTAATTTTTCTCTTGTGTTTGTATGAACCCTATGCAATATAAATGACTTGATTACAGTTTATGATGGCATCCACGTAATTTCTGAGAACTCTAGTAAGACAGCATCTCCTTTTCTTGTGTTGTAAAAGGTTTCACTTAGTTGGGAAGGATCTTTGAAAAGCTGCCCTAGAATTTCATGGTCTCTGAGTTGAGGACAGAGAAGTCCCAATCCTGCTCATCTGTCCTATCTGTTGGCTCTCTGGTAAAGATAAGAATTGAATTGGCTTTTACCTTTCATTTGAAATATGATCAAATTGGTTTAGGTGTTACGGAAAATAGAAGCTAACCAACTTCTTTTTTAACTTTTATTGTAAATTGAGTGAAGGTTTACAGAGCATACGATCAGCTTCTCATTAAAAACTTACATACTTTGCTTCGTTACAATAATTGCGCCCCATGCATGTACCATCGGTTCCATGCATTTGTTGCCTTAAACTCTTTCGTGCCTCCCTGAGTCTCTTGTTCATCATCTTTCCGCTGCCAGTCGTCCTCTTGTATATGTCTGCCCTTTTCACTCATGTTAACCTTGTGATGCATGAATAATTATCTGTCCTTATAACTATTATAGAATGTTTGTTTTACCAAAAACAAACAAAAAAAACTACTTTTTTACCACAGTGGTCTTATACAGTATATGTCCATTTTGTGATGTGTTCAGCAGGAAAAAACATTCAACAATTAGCACTTCTCCTTCCAGTGAGATGCTCACTGAAAAGGTGAAGCCTAAACTTTATGAATGCAGAGGAATGCTACCCTAGGGCATTGTGATTTTGCATCCAAAATGTACATCCACACTGTGCAAAACCTTCCTTCTGTGGTCTTGAAGCATTCTTCCTGGCAGAAGATTCACATATAATGAAGAAGTGAAGACAGCATTCCTGGCTCTCAGCTCAACCTAAAACATTTCTTTATAAAGGAATATGAAAGCTTGCTGACAGATGGACAAAGTGTATTGAAAAGCAAGGAAATTATGTCAAAAACAAATGCATTTGTCTTTTCTAAAAGTTGATTAAAATGCTGCAGCCAGAGTGTGGATGATTTTTGACTCACTGGTAGGTTAAGTGTAATTATCGATAGCTATGATCTAGTACCATAGTGGTTACGAGTTGGGCTGCTAACTTCAAGGTCAGCAGTTTGAAACTGTCAGCGGTTCCATGGGAGAAAGATGAGGCTTTCTGCTCCCGTTAAGATTTACATCCTAAAAACCCTATAGGGGTCGCTATGAGTTGGAACCGACTCCACAGCACATAACCACCAACCACCACCATTCCATGGTATAGTTACTGATGAAAGAAAGTTTGTATGTAAAGTATTACAATTTAGTCACCATTTAATTTCAGGTGTTTCTCATCGTAATTCCTGTCTCTTTGTTTTTTATAAACACTCCATGTTGTTAAGTATCAGCAAGTCAGTTCCGACTCAGCGACCCTGCACAGGGTTTCCAAGGCTGTATATCTTTACAGGAGCAGAGTGCCTCATCTTTCTCCCGTGGTTTCAAACTGCTGACCTGGAGGTTGGCAGCCTGACTCATAACCACTACGCTACCAGAGCTCCTTATAAACACTCTATAATAGAGATCAATTATGCTTTGTTGTCCTTTTCTTGGTGTAAAAAAAAATCTTAATGACTCAGGACATGAACTCCGGTGCAAGGTAGTGGAGGGTAGAGTTACTGTGCTGAGTGTGGGGCCAGGTGGACTTACCTGGATGGCAGCCTGCTCGTCATGGGGATGGCCAGGTGGACTTACCTGGATGGCAGCCTGCTCGTCATGGGGATGGCCA